GCAGAAAGGCTCATTTCTCACAAAACAATTACCGGAATCAAGGACTGCTTGCATGTTTTGCTTGTAATTTCAGATTCTGTAGTGGTCAGAGATTTGCTGTTGTTGTTTTCAAACGGAAATTTGCAATTGAGTCAGACTGGAATCAGAGTCAGAGGGATCAGACTGTATACCTAAAGTCTGGGTCAGCCCCAACCAGCCAGGTAAAATGGCCAACCCTTTCCACAATTCTTGAAGAAATACAGAAGCTGCTATTTCTGAAACCTGAAACTCCATTATGGAGATCCCTGATGGATAAAGCTTGGGTCAACTGAGGCCATCATTCACCCTCTATGCTTGTAGGCATGGACTTCATGCCTATAAAGCTGTATAACCCAAGATTGCCACCTAATGGAGGGAATGGGAAATCATTCATGATCACTGTAAGTCAGGATCAACTCCTGATCACCATAAATTGGAATCAACCTGATGTCATGTAACTGATTTACAGAAAACAGTTCTCTATTTGAAGTCTTGCCAGCTCATTGTTTAGAGAGCCATTTAGTATAAATCTATGTTACGAAGAAAGAGCCACTGTTCAGTTTTTGCTCCAAATTGGGCAACTATCTGTCAAATCTGCTTAAACTATTTGCAAAATGGCAGGGACCCTATGAGGTTGTGAGAAAGATTAGTGAGATGGATTATGAGGTGAACATGGTAGATAATAAAAAGAAATTATAAGTGCTACATGTTAAATTGCTGAAGAGTTAGGTAGATAGAGAAACCCTCTTTGGAGATTGTGAAGAAGAATTGGGGCCAGAGGTGGGACATGTAAAGATGGGAAAGGACAGGCAGATACTTATTGATGAGAGGACAGAACCACAACAAGTAGCTCAAGTACGACAGATTGAAAGAGTTCCCTGACGTTTTTTCTAAGAAACCGGGACACACCCATTTGGTAGAGCACAGTATTGAAACCTGATCAGGTGTCGTAGTGAGGTCAGCAGGAAGGTCTTGCCCACGACAGTTGACCTCAGTAATAGAACAAGAAGTAACTGAAATGCTAAACCATGGGGTAACAGAACCAGCCAAGGGACTGTGGCACAGCTACCCCATAGTGGTGTCAAAACCCGACAGTATGGTACGGCTCTGTATCCATTATCGTAAGGTTAATGCAGTTTCTAAATTCGATGCATACCCCATGCCCAAAGTGGGAGATCTTCTAGACAGACTAGGGGGCGCTGTGTACCTATCATCATAAGATCTTATGAAAGGGTACTGGCAGATCCCAATAAGAGTCCAAGATAAAGAAAAAAACAGGCTTTTCCACCCCGATGGGGCTCTTCCAATTTACCAGAATGGTTTTTGAATTGCATGGGGCAGCTGCAACATTCCAACGTCTGATGGAGAAGGTTTTACGCCCAGTACAAGACTGTGCTGCTGCTTACATAGATGATATTATGTATATACCATGTTCCCCTGAAAATAAGACAGGGCCTTATTTTAATTTTTGCTTCAAAAACACATTGGGGTTTATTTTCAGGGGATGTTTTATTTAAAGTCAAGTCATTTTCTGGTTGCTGCACAATGCTGGAAGTTGGAGTTTAACTTAACTGGGGCTTATTTTCGGAGTAGGGCTTATATTATGAGCATCCTGAAAAATCGTACTAGGGCTTATTTTCAGGTTAAGTCTTATTTTGGGGGAAACAGGGTAGCTCTACTTGGGAGGAACATCTAATTCACTTACGCAGGGTCTTAGAAGAATTAAGGAGAGCAGGACTTACTGCGAACCCTAACAAATGTAGGATAGCCAGATCCAAGGTGGATTATTTGGGCTTTCTGGTGGGAGGAGGGGAGATACAACCCCAAGAGGAGAAGGTCTCTAAAATTACTCAGTGGTTCCAGCCAAGGACAAAAAGGAAAGTACAGCAGTTCTTGGGTCTGGTGGGGTACTACAATTCTCTGACACTGCTGCCCCTTTAACTGATTTGACTAAGAAGAGGGCAGGAAGATAATGGGGGGAGGCCCAGGAAAAACCCTTCAAAATTCTAAAAACGGTATTATGTGAGTTACCTGTGAGGTTTGCACCAGACTTCAACATTCTCTTTGTACTCTTCACGGATGCGTCGGACAACGGTCTAGGAGCCATTCTGGCTCAGATATGCAATGGGGTGGAGTATCCTGTTCTCTATCTTAACTGCAAGTTGACAGCAAGAGAACAAAAATACGCCGTTATTGAGAAGGAAGCATTGTCAATCTGATGGGCAACACATGTCTTGAGGTATTACCTATTAGGGGCACCTTTCACGTTGCAGTGGCTGGTTCAAATGAAAGACACAAACCCTAGACTTACTTTATAGTATGTAGCCCTTCAAGCTTACATCTTCACGGTTCAGTATCGGAAACATAAGGAACATCCTAATGTAGATTATTTCTCGCAGCAGGGTCCCTGGGCAAGAAGTAGTGAGAAGTGGATGGCCCTCTCGGATGGGAGGGTATGTTAGACAGAAGGCAAGAGGGCTACCCCACTCGCTGGAGAGCTGTCCCTCCTCCACAATGAGGATAAGGAGGCAAGACCTCAGCCAGCACCAGAGCCTATGGCGGAGGCTCAAGAAGGGACAGATATAAAGGAATTGACTGAAGAGATACAGACAATAACAATGGAGGAGGTTCAGGAGGAAAAGGCAGGAAAGGAGAGGAAAAAGAGGGTGGAATTTGAGGCAGGAGGTCAAAAGGAAGGACGGGCAGTTGCCGCCCGGTTGGGAATGGGTGTGGATGGAACATCCCTGGATAGGATTATGGCAGAGACTGAGAGTGCCTAAGGAGGAGGCAGATTACAGGAAGAGAAGATAGATTCCCCCCTAGACCCTCTTATTGGGGAGAAGCCAAGGCTAGATAGTGGAGGAAGAGATTGAGAGAAGAGAAAGAGAGAGTGGAGAGCGAAAGGAGAGAATGGAGAATGGAGAATAAGAGAGATGAGAAAGAAGAGTTACAGGGAGAACCCCAAGATACGAGCCCTGTGGAATGGTGATCGGGATGATGAGACTGCCTTTGATGAGAAAGAAGAGTTACAGGGAGAACCCCGAGAGACGAGCCCTGTGGAATGGTGATCGGGATAATGAGACTGCCTTTGCTGGAAGGCTCGACGAGGCAGACCGTGAGAGACTGGGTCCCTGCAGATCTTCCGGGACCGTGGAACACGAGTTGTGGAAATCCATTCCTGTTTGATGATTGGAAGCCCCTTCCAGACCTGTTGGCAGAAGGAGAAAAGACTCACGATCATGTTGCGGACACTTGTTCATATGGTTAAATGCACCCATAAATCTTTCACCTGTTTCGAAGCAACAACAAAAAATCTTCAGATTTTTTGAACTGAATGTGGAGCCGAAAGCCGAACCCTCACAGGAAGCTATTTCAGACAATTCTGAGTGTAGCCCTACAGGCATCATGTGTCCATACCCAGGGAGTGTTTGAACACTGCTCTCTCTAGGAATGTGTTAAGTCCCCTCGGGAGCCTACGGTCCTTGCCGCAGGGAAGTACAGGAGGCGAAGAGAAGGGATCTGCCACTGCAATGATTCCACATCTCTCTCTCTCTCTTTTATTGCTTAGAGGTTCATGGAATCCCCCCATGGAAGAGGAGTTGGGAGTCCATCGGTCTCTCAGGGGAGCGCCCCACGGACCAGAGGCCTCTGTGTGTGTGAGTGAGAGTGTGTGTCTTCCTCTGGAGAAATGCCGTGTGTATGTGTGTGTGTAACAAAGCTTGAAAAAGTTTTTTTTTCTTTTCACCCTATTTTTGCGTGTGTGTGTGAGAGAGAGAGAGAGTGTCTTCCTCTGGAGAAATGCCATGTGTATGTGTGTGTGTGTGTGTAACAGCTTGAAAAAGGTTTTTTCTTTTCACCCTAATTTTGCACGACAACATAGCTGGCTGAGGGATTCTATGAGCTGCAAACACGAGAAACAAGGTCAGCTTTTTCCAAGCATCACAGACACGTGGGTGGATTTAAAGAATAAAGCGGCACAAAGACGCAAGGTCCAGTTCCCCTCGACTCTAGGCCAGAATGTCAAGGCCGTCATGTGGCAAAGGAAGGGAGGGAGGGAACTTTTTGGACTGCAGAAGACATTTATTGATTGATTGATTGATTGCGCTATCTAGCTAGCATACTTGCATACCGTCCAATTAGGGTCTGGCACTACTCTGCTTGGTTTAAACTCAACTTTTAGGGAGTTGTACCCTTTTATAATATGTTTTTATAGTGACTTATTCGCGAAGAAAGATACTGATTGCCACCAAAACGCTCAGGGAACTAACAGAGGAAGGAAAAAAATGAGAGCACCTCAGGGGCAAAAAGAAAGTCAATACGCATGCGCTTCTCCGAACGGACAGCGGTTTCCCGCCTTCCTTGTTGAAGGGAAGGCGCATGCGCTTGCGGTGGAGTGGGAGCGGGAGGGGGGGGAAAGGAGTGGTCGTGACGGCAAGACGGAGAAACGTCGCCCGCGAATGAGACCGCGCGGAAAAGGAGCCCGTCAAGAAAGGTCGCTCTCTGATTGGCTAGTTTGCCCACGCTGTGGGGAGGGGGCGACTCGAGGTTGCGGCGCAGCCCCACTCCTCCCGCCCGAGTGCGCCACGTCAGTCAAGGCGCGCTCGCAAGGGTTTGTGTG